CATCGTTATTGATGATAATGTGTTCACAAACCACAGCGAGGTCTCACACTGGATAGCAAGATGGAGGTGTGCCAGCTTTCTTCTGATGGGTGTCAAAATCTCTCGGTTAATAATAAATAAATGTATGCTTATTATGTGTACAGTACTTTGCACAGCAGAGTGCTTTACACACATCAGCTAAGAAAAGCTTATGACTCTACGATAGTTCCTCCTGCCCACATAGCCGAACATACTCTTCTAAAAATTTTTCTGTGGAGCTGTTAGACAGCAGTATTAATACACAAGTCTTTGGATGTGTCATCAAGATGACATACAAAATAACAAGCTGCTTGTCCAACCTGCCTCCTCCCAACTGCTGCCATCTTTAAGGTTCATCTGTCACAGGACTCCGGGTTGTAATAGCTCTGAAAAGCTAGTAGATACACATAGCCCCAGATCTGCCACCATCGCTCCAACCCACCTACATCCTCTCTTTTTATGCTGAAATGCAGAAAACCCACACACGGCGTGTGGAGTTCTTCTTTCCCACCAGCCACCCCTCAGGCCATTGACTGCTGCTTTTCTGCTCCTCCTTTCTTCTCCACTTGTCCTCTATACTTGGAAATTATGCAATATAGACATGAATAGTAATAATAATATCCTAATATTTCAGTCCGTTAATGCCTGTGTGGCATTTCAACAAGTCCAAGATGTTCTAGTGCTTAATATCGGGTATCCATACTCTAAAAATGGGATAATGGGAAACACTCTGTGTTTTGCAAATTCCTCCTTTTACCTGTATGGGCTCCCTGTTACTGTGGCTGGCTCCAGAAACCTGCTGTAGTAATTCAGCACAGGCTTTGGGATTGTGGTTTGTTCTGATGGCCATTATTATTTATGTCATGCACACCACATTTTTAGAACCATATTGCTTTTGCTCATAAAAACCACATGGCTATAAATCCAAAGCGTTAAAGTGTCTCCAAGGCTAGAACTTAAAATAAATCTTGAGTCTGTAGTATTCCCAGTATCAGAGGACTTAGGTGACAGCAGGCTCATTTTCAAAAGGTTCTTTCCTTTTTTTATTGCATCCAGACTGGTCCTCTAAACACTGAAATTGTGGGCAATGGTCATTTTGTGGCATTAGAGAGTTGAGTGACTGTCAGCTCTGCAAAAACTAATGGCTCCAAATGCCTCTTTGGGAATAAAGTCAGGAATACTAAATGCTGCAGAAAACCATGGAGAACTTACATCCTCCCTGAGATAACCTAGCTTAAGCAATGCCATTTCATAGGAGGGATTCTGGTCCTGCATCCTTGAACCACTGACCATGACAAGTGACCTCTGGGCCAGGAAAGGAACTGTTCAATAGGCGTTTGTGCAGTGCCCAGCACAGCAGGGTCCCAGGCCTGCTTGGAGAATATCGCGGCTTCTGAAAGAAAGAACAAAGTAGGCAGTGTGGCATCCATGCACCAAGTTTGCATTACGTTAGCAGATGAAACTGCAAGTTCACATATATTTCACTGCGTGCAATAGATTTTTTAAAGTTCACATAAAGGTGAAAATACTTGAAGAACGCTAACCATTTACACTACTGCTTTCTCTCCATAGTATGTCCATTCCTACACAGAACATTTTTCAAATGACATGTTCCAAAAAGTCCTGAAGCATCTCTGTCAGTGTGCTGATGACTTCCAGGAAGCAATAAGACATGATATGTGGAGGCAAATGTTTACTGATCTCTTCCTAGATTGTGATTATGCAAAGGTAAGCAAAGCAGCTCTCAACCTAATTTCAATATGGTGATGCTTCCAGTTTGGTATTTCTCTGGGTCACTGCCTTCTTTTTAGTCTTCATGACTCCAGATACTCTCTTTGTGCTTACTCAGCATTATTTTAGAGGACAATAGCTGCTGCAATGTCTTCAAATTCATAGTTCTTAGACATAGAAATAGCCAATAGGCTATAAGCCAATGGCTAATTAGAAACTCAATGACCTAATGTGATGACTCGGGGCTGAAGTTTGATGATTCTGGAGAAGAAATTAACCATGAACTTTACTGCTTCTGGTCATTACCTGTTCCCACAGCACGTTCAGAGTGTTTAGGTGCTAATTTGTCTATTCAGCCGTACTTCAGAAAAGATAACCTGATATAGACTGACCTTAACAAATGTGCACATTACTACAATAGTAACATATATTGCGTTAATTATGTTGCATTAATTTATACGCCTTTAGGGCTTCTATCAATAAATCTCATAATAGGTTAAATTTAAAATGCAAAATAATCTATCTTTACAACCTCACTGAGAAAAGTACTGTGAACTTCAGCCACAGTTTATAGACAGGAAATTAAAATACAATGAGTCAGTTACAGAGCTGGAAATGGAACTCAAAAGCCATAATTTGGTTTTCAGCAGCTCTAAACTCTATCTATCATCCTCTGGATACACCTGCATCCCCATTTAAAGGAAAAAAAAAGGCTAGACTTATTAGAAAACCAGTAAATAGTAGGAGCTGAATAATCAATGGCATAAAACGTTGCTGAAAACTTGGGGTTCATTCAAAACGTATGGTGCTTGTTATGAGTAGCCTCAGTTAGCCACTTGCTGGCTACTACACAGCAAATGGTTGCCATAATCTTACAGTTTTCTCCCCTACATAAATTACATATTCCACCCACCAGTCCTCTAGCGATGTTTACAGCATGCCTACCCAGAATGAACTGTGCTCTACAATGTCATGCTAATAATGTCATTACCTCTAAGAGAATGGAATTACAGAGCACGTTTTAACACCGATGGTGTGTTTTAGAGAATAGCAGGCAAGCTGCTGTTTCAGGGATGAGGAAAGAAATGTGTCTTCTTCTCAGTTAGAAGACATTTCATTTTCGTATTGCTCTGTCAAGAAGCACTATGATGGATCCTCCTGGGTACAGCAATATATAAAGCCAAGTCCTATCTTTGCCATGCATTTTGAAAGGATCCCTTCTTTCCCTTTCATGTTTTAATGTGACTTTCTTCCTATTATTTCTGTGGCAGTAATCACCATCTCCATGCTACTAATCCCAGTGGAATCTCAGAGGCAAAGAGCCAAAAATGCTAGCAGAACATAACAAAAGTGAGCAGCTATCAGCACAGACACCATCACTGCCCAGAAAAAAATGATCAGAGCACAAACACGGTTGCTGTTTCGAGCCACTGAGGTAGCCTTGCTCTGCAAATGGAGTTCTCTAAACTGCAGCGTGGACCATGCAGTTCTTTTAAACCTGACCTGGCTTCTTTTGTATAGCTCTAGTAAGTCCTGCCGTGCTGTACCCACAGGGGAGATAAAAGATGCAAACTAACCCAAGGACTTCTGCCACTTGAATGTGATCCATTACCTGTAGTACTCAGTCTGCAAAACACAGCAAAGCAGTTGTTTCAGTTCCTAATTTACATTCGTTTGGTAGCAGGCAGTAATTCCAGTCTGCATGGTGAGTGTGGCTGGCTGCCTCAGTGAGTTGCAATTAGGGCCAGGGAGCTGAGAAAGCAGTGTTTAAATTACAGTCAAATTAGAAGGTATCCACATGATCATTATTATCATTTCAAATGCATGCATCCAGAAGGATGGCAGCTCAGCCAGAACAGCCTGGACTATACAGGGAAGCAGAAACTTTCCAAGACAGTACCAGAACGCTGTTGAATCGCTGCTCTATTGCCCCAAAAGGCAATAGCTCTGTGAATTTTACACTTATTGTCTCTCTGTGCTCACATGTATCAAGTATAGTTTCTTTTATACATTATAACAGAATCTGCATTAATTTTCAGGGACGTTTTAAGCCCAGTATCTTTAAAGGTAACTGAATTTAGTCAGAAATCAGTGTTCAAACTAATGACATTTGAGACACTTCTGATTACCTTTCTTGCAGTAGAGCAACAACAAAGTCTGCTTTCTCATGACCTTTTCTGAGTGTCTGTTCTTCCCATCTTGCTCGCTGACAAGCATATTGTGGTGTTTGAGATACACACATCACATTTCCAGAAAAAAAATCAAGCGGTTAAACACTGACCTATCACTGATTGAGTGGCAAGTCTGGTTTAGTCTGTGTTGCTCAAGGAATTACTCACAGATCACAGAATGTTGCTGAAAACAACTCAGAATCGTCACCTGCCAATATCTAGGTGACAAGAAAATAGGGTCAACATGTTTCAACTCTCCAGCCACTAAAGCTGGCACTAGTTAAAAGTGGAGACAAGTTTTGGGCGGTTGTACAAACACAGATGGCCTGCTGTTATTTATAGAAGATGCTGTACCTGTCCTGCTGGCAAGACTCAGTACGAAGGGCTGATGGGCAGGAATCTTCCACCAGCCTCCCCCGTCACACATGAAGTACAAAGAAACGTGACTTTTCTAGTAAATTTAGGAACCCAGAAAGATAACGTAACTGGGTATAGGACCTTGGAAATGGTTTTCCTGGTGCAACGCTTCTCTCTTTATATTGATAGCTTTACTGTGACATGTTCCTCCCAAGGTAAGTTGTAAGGAAAAGTGTCCTGAAATAACAGAGACCTCTGGTAGAATAGCAAATCTGAATAAATTTTAAAAGTTAAAAAGGTGGAAAATATACCCCTAATTCATATTCAGTAATTTCTTAAAAGGAACTTAGTATTTTGAACAATATAAAAAAAATTACTTAATCTAAACCACAAAAACCCTCTTCTAGAATCTGAGTTATCTAAATCCTCCAAGTATATTATTTTAACATGACAAAAAAGTATCTAAATCCCAAACCAACATTTTTATTTTCTTTTTAATAATACTTCATCCATTGATTTAGTTTTTTAATACAACAAAACTTTGCATTAGAGCTTCCAACTTCAAGGCAACCAGCAGATGATTGTGACAAGTAACAGCTGAGGCAATTTAAAGGGAAGATTAAGTGCATGTAATGGAAATACTGAACAGAGAATCCAAATATTATGCAGTGACCTGGTAACATCTTCAGAAACATGTTCTATGTTTGTATATCTACTAAATGGATGCAGAATCTGACCTGATATATTCAACTGAAAAACAAACAGCATAAAGAAATCATTGCACGTGAGTGTGCAAGATATTTGTAAATCAATGTCAAGAAGATGAAGATACTGGGAACCAGGGCCTATATCTTGTAAGTTTAGGGACAGAATGATGGGATGACATTTGTTGTTCCAAACCCACATATGGCTGAAATTCAACTGTAGTTTCCAGCATTTTTTTACCAGCAGGAAGTAAGTTACAGGGGTCTGAAACACTAAAACCAGACTGGATGGCTGCTTGTATTTCAGTTCTGAACTCTTCCTCTGAATTTGCAAAAAGCTTTCAATTCCCTGTAGAGGAAAGGTGTTGCAGTAACAGAAAATGGGATGTAATCACTTAGTTTTCAGTATTAGCTTCCTTGGTAGGTGATGGGTTGTCACTCAGTTGTTGTCAAATCCTCTGTTCCTCACATTGACGCTATTAATTATGGTTTTAGATTATAAACAACACAGTCATCTTGAGCTCATTTCCAGAAAAGAGGAGCAAACCTCTTCCTTTATTTCTTCAGTCTAAGGGCAGAAAAAGTTCACAAGGGATTAAAAGCTTGGTGGATTTTACATTTTGCAGTTTTTAATCTAAGAGCAAAATGTGAAAAGGAAACCAATAATTCAGTTGGAAAGCTACTTGCTACAAATAATGAACTTAAATAAATCTGTTCTCTAATTAACTACTGTATTTCACTAATGGGAGGGAGATTACAAGGGTGGCAGGACTGAAATAATGACAACAGGAATTCATCATAACACGGAAAACTTGCAATTGTTTAGATTTTCTTTAATTTTTAAACTCACCATTTCCTTATTGGAAATGACCCATTTCGTTGTCTTTTCCTGGTTTTATTGTCTGCATATACTCACCCTGAGTAACAAGGACTTAATACATTCTGCATGTTCCTCTGCACTGGAACTACTGATACCTCTCTCACCTCTGCGGTAAAATGTGTTTGAATTTTTAAAGGAAATCAGGGAGATTGTCATAATAGCTCAGATTTTTAGACTAATTATTTTCCCAGGCAGTTGCTAATACGTAATGCTTCAAAGAAAAAGATGGGGCACAAAACCAAGCAACAATGTGCAGTCACTAACATAATACAGCACAGCCCATAATATGTGAAAATTCTTCCATAGTACTGTCAGGCAATCAATATCTGTCTCGGAAGTGTGAAATGTTGAAGCTTTGATCTTTATATGAAGAACTCCTTTGGCAGAAGTGGTTACGATCATCCAGCTGTAATTTGTTGAGAATATGCAAGAGAATGTGCCTGCAAAGGAATATGTATGAGGAGTTCCAGCTAAGCCCAGAGAAGAAATTTTTGCCCATGTGAAATAAATCCACTTCTTTGAAATTTGTACTGATCTTCTGGTAATGGATATTTTTCAGTCACAGGTCATTCTTAGCTAATGGTGCCTTTGTAATGCTGCAAGTCTTGATGGAAGTCCCAAGGACCACAGGAAAAGTCCAATAATTGTAATCTTTTTGTCTAGATTGGTCTCTTAGATAGACAAAAAATACTTGCCCTGCTGGTACACTTCTATGACAGCAGCCCGGTGATTGCGAAGAGGGGATTCTGTAACCCAAGACAGTGTAAGTACATGGGATGTCTCAATTCTGGTTAAAGCATTAGGAGGTCACATGATAGTTTAGATATAGATTTTATAAGTGTTAATATAGATTTTATAAGTGTTACCAGACACATACAGAGCCTGTTGAATGAATGAATGAATGCTGTGACCTATAAACCATATTTTGCAAACATGCTTTGCAAACTGTGATGCAATGTTCAGAAATACTTCAGCATCCAAACCTTTTCCTTCCTCCTTTCCTTCATAATTGCAAAATTATGAAATACTTTTTGGAAGTAGGATTAAAGGTAGACTATTTTTCCTGAAATGATTGTTCTTTCTTACTGGGCAATATTAGAAGTTTATTTCATGTTTATACTAAAATTTCTCCAAGAACTTGGAAGGATGAAGAAAAAACACAGAGTGTCATCTACATGAAAGTAAAATATTTTTAAGATATTGGACATTAATTAATTGCTAAGATCCAATGCAAGGCAAATTACAGCATTCCTTCTTAGTATGGAGAATTGTGAAACATATTTATTTCAAAAGAAACGTGGTGTAATCCACACTGACAAGTGCAGTTCTCTGCAGGCAAAGACATTATTCTGAAATGCATGTTTGCAGAAGGTACTTTCTGGGAGTTTGTATTTGCTAAGGAAAACCTTTTTTCTTTTTTAATCAATTTTCTTACGCAATACTAGAGAACATAAAACCAATGCAAACTATCAATTTACCAATATTTTTTCTATTTTAGGGCCAATAATTGAGCTGCAAGAGATTGAGCTTGCAGATTTATGGGGAGGCCCTGATGACCAGGAAGTTTGTGAGGAACTCAATGAAAAGTTAGTCTTGTCTCAAACAGACATTCCTGAGGGAGAGATTTCAGCATATGAAGCTGTAGGTGATAATAGACAATGCACATATAGAACGAGAACTAGTGTCAGAGAAGGTCTTTTTGAACAAATGGGCATGAGTGAAGCTGAGACTGGAGGACTTTCTGAGCAAGAAAACCAAGCAGCAGAATCAAGTGATGCTGCAGTGAGAAAGGAAGGAGAGGATGCTGCGTCAGCGGTGAAAAGCGCTGGTTTTGAAGCTAGTGATTTGGATGGAGATGCAATACATAGTGAGGAATCCAGTTTCCAGGAAGACATCAAAACTGAGAGGCAAACTGAGTCTGCAAGTGCAGACGGACAGGAGGAAGCTTTCCCAGGATCAGCCTCCATTGGGCACAGTCTCAGTAGAGATGGAGAACCCGGATCTGAAAAGCAGGTGGAGGAAAAGGCCTTTAGCCTGGGTAGAGAGCATGATACAGACACAAACAGGGAAGAAGATTATTGTATCTCAGCCAGAGAACCTGGCTCAGAAGGGCAAGTTAGTCAGGAGAAGGACAATTGGATTGCAGAGACAACCAACACAATTTCAGGACCAACACCTGAAGCTACAACCATGACCTCAGAAGACAAAGCTGTGGCAGACATGGATGTCATTGCTTCAAAACAGGATGCTCCAGTTGCAGAGGTTGTGAAAGAAACTCCTGCAAGAAAAGGGAGTTTTTCTAGGCAGCATGGCAGCCGGTTTGGCCAACAGACAAGCTCAGAGACAAGACTGCAGGATGAGGACCTTCTGCAAGAGCAGGGTGAAGGTAAAGCATTCTGGTTTATTCTGGCAGACTTTAATTTTTTTCAGCATATACATTTGGACTGGTTTAACTGTAGGTGTGTTTTTAATCCATTTCAAAATTATTGAAAGCATTTCTGAATGTGATTTCTGAATACACAAGACAATAAGCTTTGATGTCTTCTCAGCATGGTGTTTTCCACCACTGTGTTCCTCTCACAGGATGGCAGGTAAATCTCTTTGCAAGTGATCTGTATTCAAGGCACTGAGCAGACACTTTAATTCAAGTAGGGACTTTCTGAAGCAGCAGCATTTTTATAATAAGGAGAAACTTTATGTTCTGTTTTACTCTGTAATATTAGTATAGCAAGTCAGGAGCCTGAGCACATTAAATACAGAAATGACTTTTAATAATTTTTAGACTGTGATTGCCCATAGGGCGATATATTATTGGAGCATATACCAGGAACCTTTTATTTTAATCTCTCACTGTGTTTCCAAAGGAATATAATACTTCTTAAATGTATACAAAGGTTTTTGTTCTAGGAAGGCTGTGATCAAGCAACTGTGTGTTTCATTGGAAGTACTTTCCTAAACATAGTAGAAGGACCATCTTCCTTGCTAGCACTCTGTGAATACACTCTGGTGTCTCACAGCATAAAACACTGCAAGAACTGGGTCTACATTGCCAGAGCAGTCTAGTGACAGACTTATTACATAAAGGCTGTAAATGATGGTACAGCCCACTAGTACTTAGAGCTTTCTGCGGTTAATGTCCAGCACACAGCACTAACCAGTCATTCAGCCAGTCTCCGGATGCGCATCCCGCATTGTTTGGGGCACGCAGTGCTTCCGTCTTCAGAGCAAATTCCCACTCTGTTCTCACAGAAACGATGGTGTGATGGTACAGTGCTCCTTGAGAGAAAGGTGGATGGAAACAAGTCTGAATATAATTTTGAACCTATCTTGGAAAAAAGTTATCTTGTTGCTCTTGCTAAAATGGATGGTTGTAGCTGGGCTTAAGAAATGTGACATTCACCAGGTGAGTATCAGGAAGCAGTATTTCCAGACACCAAAAATAAATAGCTACTGATAACAAGGGTAGCTCCAGAAACCCAGAGGTAGATTTTACACATTAATCAGCAGGGTGCTCAGACTAGTAAGCTCTGGTTCACGGAAGATTTCTTTTTAAAATTGCAGGTCCAGCATGCTCAGACAGACAGGCTTCTCCAGCTGAAGCTAGCCAGGAGTTTGAAGTGCCATGGTCAGGTGACTGCTCTTTTCATCTGCTTTAGAAACTATAGCTTGGATATATGTATTTAAAGGCTTTTAGAAAAGTTGTGTCTTTTTTAAAGGTTGTATCATTACAAGGTATATTTTATCTTTCATCAGGTGACTTTCTGACTTGTGACCTAAGTTGCAGGTATAGTGGCTATGGAGCAAGAATTCCAGAGGACTGGCAGTGTGATAACACGAGATTTCCAGGTATTTGGTCACAAAGCTGTGTGTTCACTTGGGCACACAGCAGCTGGCAGTGCCTGCAGACATGCCAGTACTGCTGTGAGCTGAAAGTTTGGGCAAGAATACAAACGCTAATTCCCAAAGCTGACTTCAAGGTAAGAGCAGTGTAGTCTTTGTCTCAGAAGGCTACTTGCCGTGTAACAGTAATTTCAGCTCACCTGTATTCATTGATTTGACCTGGCTGTATGATAGCATCTGTCCCAGACTGGAGCCTAAATCTGAAGAGATACTATTAGAAAAGTATAAGCAGATTAAGGCCCTTAGTGGGCATGGAGTCAGTCTGTATTCAGCCACGCTTTCACTGGACAGGAAGTGCAGGATTCAGGACTGCATTGATATCTGCCACGTGGCCGGCTTTAGGGCAGCATTTGGCTTCCTGCGACACACTGTGCTTTCTGTCTTTCAGACTTACATCCCATCATGGCAGAGATTCAGAACCGTTGGACTTCTGATAGTAGGAGCGCCTTTGATGAAAGCTGCCTCAACCTGCCACAGTTTGTACAGCTCTTGGAGACATTTGTTGGTAAAGACATTTCTCTGCCTACTGTGAAGAGGCTTATTGCATTTATCAAAGAAGAATACAAACAGACAGAAGAGGAAAAAATGAAACAACTAGAAAAAGTAAATATTGATAAGTTTTGCTGATCCCATGTCCAAACAAAAAACAAGCAAATGCCTACAGACACGGACAAAGTCAACTTGTAAGCTCATGCTGGCAGAGCTATTCACTTGCAGCTTTGTGTTCTCTGTATCTTCAAGAGACCTTTTACCCCTTTGTTTTCATCCAGATCCTCCCTCCCTAGCCCTTAGCTCTAGAAGTGATGACAGACTCATCCTGTTAGAGGTTGTCTGTCTGTTCTAGAGCTGGACACACTGAGACAGCAGGTTGATAGTTAATTGTGAAAGAGCTCAAAACATTCCATTCTGCTTATTCACCTTTATAATAGCCAAGAACCTGATCTCTGACCTACTGCACTGGCATGTACCTATGAGGTTGTGGATGTTTTGGGGAGGATTTTAAAACAAGCGTGTTTGGTTTTACTGTGTGCACAGCTGTATGTGAATGTGTACATGCTTCTTTGTGTTTAAGTTACAAGGTGCCCTTGCCATGTGTTGAAAAAAATATATTCCCCTTCAGCAATATCCTCATGCACAGCATCAGGGCGCCCCATATCACTTCAGAGAACAGATATATTTTGTGGTGGGTCTGTCCACAGTAGCGTCTCTAGCTGCATTTTCCTCAGACCTCTTTCTAGTTTCCCTCTGTGCTGCTGACCTAATTTGGATGAGATATTGGATCTGACGGCTCTACTGTCCTCACGCTGAACACAACACACACTGCCAGTACTTTGGCCTTTGAGAGAATTCCACTCCAGCCATTTATCACTGTGTGCTGTGCAAAGACGGGGTTTAAAGGACAAATTGTACACGCATTTGCTTGGAGCCCACGCACTTCAGGGCAGCACCAGCGAAACAACAATGTATGGAAATACAAACTGTCACATCTTTGGGTGTTACTAACAAGGCTGTGCTTAGTTCTTGCTGGGAAGACATTTGTATACTGGGAAACTCGCACTTACCTGAGTTGATCTCACCTTAGACCCAGCACGGGCTTTGTTTGTTCACTCAGAAATAACCCTCTGCAGTGCTGATCCTGCCTGGTAAAACTGAACGGTTGGCTGTGTTTAGTGTTTCCAAATATCTCCCAGTTTAACGATTTATCTCCAGGTCTGAGCTGTGTATTTACAGACTCGGCCTGACCCATAGGAAATACTGTCTTTTCCGTATTTGTGTAGACACAGAGTGTCAGTGTCCAGGAATTATCAAAGACGGGCTGTTTCTCTGCTGTAGGTTCACCGCATCTCTCGCTTGGCCCAACGGAAACTGCTTCTGGAGGCACTTTTCAAAAAGTGGGACAAGAATGCGTCTGGGTTTCTGGATCTGGAAGAGGTGGATGCTGTTCTAAGCACATTCAAAGAAGGGATGGAAAAAGAGGCCTTGAGGAAGGGTAAGGAGACAGCTCTGCTCTGAGAAAACAATGTCAACACAGTAGGCTTTAAACCATTCAACGACAGTGCTAATGAAGTTGTTGGCACGCTCAAGTCATTTTTTGTTTTTGCAAGCAGTCATAAGCATAAAAGGTATGGTGTCTAAAAAGAAAAGGAACAGTTATCCAGACCGACCTGTTAATCATAGCTCCATCCCCTCCTCCTGTGCAAGACTCCTCTGTGACAAATTCCCGGTCACAGACGTAGCCCAATGCTTTCATGACATTGTGATGTGTTGACAAATTATTTCAGCTGTAACATGCAATATATAGTTGTGATATGGTCATGAAAAACACAGGTAAAGCCTGAGGATACGTTTTGCACTTTTAGTCTAGCCTGTCTGTGTTATCCTGGTATTTTTAATAGATACATTTTACTGTGCTATCTGCAGGAATGTATCTCACAGGAGAGAACAGCAGCTTGCCTTATGGGTCTCAAATAGCCTGTAGTAATCCACACAGTTGCACAGCTCTCAGATAGCAAATTCGAATCTCTGTTGGTTCATTTCTCCGAATAAACTTAGTAAATTTGGTCCTAGACAGAGCAGACCTGGGTCAGAGAGAAGTGCTGCAGGTTCACCTGGACCTGTCTGGCAGCCTCATACATATTAACGTGGGCATTAGGTGCTCTGAAATACTGTATTAGCAATTAAGAACATGTCTGCATGTGCGCTTGGGTGGAGAGGACTGGTTTATTCATCTCCACGCATATCTTCTTCTTGCTTGTTCACCACAAAATGGCTCATTTTGGCAACTACCAAAATCTCTTTATTCTTGAGCTCACTTGAGGCAGCTGGTGGGGTGGGGAGGCCACCGGCATGCTGCAGTTGTCTCCATGGAAGAAACCGGCAGTTTACAGCTCTCTCATATTCAGAGCATGCCAGAGCACACTACAGAAATATGGAAGGACATAGTGCCTTCCATGAAGGGCTCATAAACTGAAGGACAAATAAACAGAAAGATAGCATAGCTAAATCGATACCACCTACAAGCAACATAAAACTATTTTTAGCAGCTTCAACTAGACATTGTGGATCAAGCAGGTTTGGGGTAAGGGTTCACAGACATTGCATTCCTAAAAACATGGAGTGAAAATGGGGACAATTACTTGATTTTCCTTGTAAATGAAAGGCATAATGTTACAGATGTAATGGGGAAAATAATTCATCATGCTGTGGCTCAGTAATGAAGGCATTGATCATGCCGTGTTCAACTTCATGTGTATTTCTTTCTGCTCTTTCTTCAAAGAGAGGAAAAAGCGGAGGTGAAAATCCAAACATTTTTATACCATCAAAAATTTCTCCATCCTACTTCTGTCAGAAAATCAGAATTAAATTAAAAAATACTGGATGTTCTTTAGATGATAGGCAGGATAAGACAGCATTAACAGTTGGGTCCACCATGACTGGGACCAGTTAGTATTTGCCACTTCTATAGCTAAAATCAGTGATAAAATGCCCCCTGAGTTCTGTGGGGGAAGGAGGAAGCTCTCAGCTCCCATAAACATCCGTGTCTTGGGTGCACTGGGAGGCAATCAGGGCAGCTCCCTGCCTGTTCCAGTGCATCATTAATCAAAACATTTTCTATTACACTGTTCCTTATAGCCCACTGTATGTATTGATCACAAAATACTCCATGCTTAACAGCAAAGTCACACTTCTATCTATATATCTTTGCTTGCTTAGTTTCCTAGTAGGAAGCGGCTTGACGTATAGCTCTCCTTTCCTTTACTTCTTCGGGTCCAACAAGCTTTGAAATCAGGATGCAGGAAAAAAATGATGAAAGTGTGAATCATGGCAGAGCTCAGGAGAGGCAGTGCCAGGAGCATGATCAGGCAAGCCCGGCTCGGGCAGAGCATCCGGTGAATCCCGGGTTTCCAAAGCCAAGCAGCTGCCTGCAACTTCGAAAGCCTGTGCAAGAGCACCCCCGTGAGCCCAGAGCTGCGGTGTGGGGAGCAGCGGGTCTGCAAGAACTGGGACGGGGGTGCAACCACTCTGATAGACTGGCTGCTGAATAGAAACCCATGGGGTGAATTTACATTTTTGTGCTCAGTCGGGATTACGAGTCTAAGATGAGTCCCAGTGGTCTTCAGGACCTCTGGGCAAATTGGAAGTTTGTGAACTAGAGTGAGTAGATGTAGGAAAGCGATTCTTGAGAATCACAATTTGACCCCTGGGGCATTCCTCCTTCCTGCAAGCACAAGGAAACTCTGCCAGACCTTTCTACTGCAGTTTATTTGCCTGTATTTGGGCCAGCTCAGCTGCAATCTCTGGGACATGAAAAAGGGGACTCAGGCACAGCTCCACTCCTCGGCCTTGTGGAAGATGGGAAAGAGCAGCCTCCGTGCAGTCATCTTTACTCTTTCTCTCCCCTGGGAGCTAACAGGCAGCAATTCATTGTTTTGGATGCTTTTCATACTAATTTATTCTTCTAAATCTTCTATTTCTTATAAAAGCTCTCTTGCTCCTTTTGCTCTACATCTCTCGGTGCAGTACAGGTGATTGCAGAGCACTGTTGTCCTGTCCTCTGTATGACTTCAACAGAGCTTTCATCTTCTTTGCTCTTCGTTTACGAAATTTAGCACAATACAAATGTTATTTCGATAATTCATCAAAGGCACCTAAATAAGGGTAATTAAGAATGGTAGTTACTTTGGAAGGCTTCAAAAGAAAACGATAATGTCTGCAAGTATGTTATATAATGGGAAATCCAGGAATATGAGTGATCTGTGAAATCATCTGTAGACTCTGGCCTTCACTCTTTTGACGGGTTTGATGAGTAGTTCTTCTGCAGGATTTCAACTACTATTACTGTATGCAGAATGCCTACCTGCAGCCCAGTCCCCCAGCCCCTCAAGTGCCCGCAAAATTCGGTTCTGATGTGAAGATACCTCTGATTTTTGATAACTCCAAGCAGCTTTCCTATCTTCCATTGACTTTTATTGTTTATGTATGTTGCAGAGGTACAAAAGGGGCACAGGAGCAATGCCTGGCATGTTTCTTTCTCAGTAGGTAAGAAAGTAAGCATCTACAGGAAAAGGTGCATCCAGTCTTGAGGCTGGAGATTACCTGTCAGGGTGACAGCTTACATTTAGGAGATAGCTGGAAGAAACCCAGAATGATGGATTGGAGCACTCCACCCAAAGCCAGTTTAGGGCTTGATTCATATTTTGCACAAGAAAAGCAGAATATTTTATTCAAACAGACTGTCCCTGTCTTATTTCCTGTTTCTTCTACTAGCAAAGAAACACTTTTGCTCCTGTTACCCACAGCTCAGCAGAGTGGGGAAACTATCTCCAAAGGCATTCCAGACTTTCCTTGAGTTAGTTGCTTCTGAGTTCAGTGGCGATGAGGATGAAGCTATTGATAACTTGGTGGAATTTCTGACCAGAAGTGTGGAACGAAGTCACATGGAGTGCCTGCAAAACTTCACGAGGAGGAAATGGCTGCACAATATCCAGCAAGCAGCTCAGACCAGTGGAGCAAGCATGGAACCAGTTTACAAAGCAGTGTTTAAGGCCCTCTCCCAGGTACACATCCCAGGGAGCACAAGAACTGTTTGTGTTGGGATTGTGACACTGACTTCAAAACCTGATGCCTTTGAGTTGAACTCACAGGTAGCATGGGAAGCTGATCTGAGCCTGGTTTCCTTGTGCTTTTCTGTGCTTAGCTGATGTTCGGCAGAGCCGATGGTTATGCACGGGTCAGATCTGCAATACAAGGATTCTTGTCCATGCTCTGCCAATACAGAATGCATTTCACAGATATTTATGGCTCCCTTTTTGAAGGGCTGACTCAGATCCAATCTGGAAATCCATAGTTCTAGTTTTGGAGCTGCTGAAATGAAACACAGCAGACTCAGTTAGGGACAAAAGTGGTTAATTTGTAGTGGAGATAGTTTCACTTTTAACTTGCAGCTGCAACTTTAGATGTTTGTCCTCACCATTAAAGCCCCTTCAAAGCAAAACTTCTCTCATGGTAGCTGAAGTGTTCTTACAATATTGTCTAGATTTGTAATAGCAACTTTGGCACTTGTTTGCCTGACTGTTCAAAAGGAATCTCCTATTGGAGAAGAAATCCATGGGAGTTTTGCTTAGGCACAAGTTATATTTAGGGATGATTTTTATATGAACTGCTCCCCTTTGGCAGCAGAAAAAAAGAAAACCATTTTCCTTGCCAATCAAAATACCAAGTGTTTTTGCTTGTAACAGAGCGTATCGGTCAGACAGGATCACAGCATAGACACATACGTGTCATGCAGTTGGTGCACGACATACAAAATCAGTGACCCAGAACAGCATCTCAGCAAAAATGAGACAAGTGCTAAGTACATGAAATAAATGTAATGGCCAATGGCTAATGTACATAATGTAACGGGAAACATTTGGTTGCTAGGATGCAGAAGCCCATGGGGATAACAAGAAGATCAGTGCATATATTGCCCTTTTGGAAGAGAACCAGCTCTCACCAGAGCGGGGACAGATTCTCCTACACTATGTGGCATGTACCGCAGACGATGCTCCGTATGTTCTAAACCAGATACTTTACAGAGACATGAAAGGAGTAAGGTAAGAAAAGCTGCAAATAACTGTTCCTTTTTCTCAAAAATATTTGGAATGTCGAGGGACCAGGCAGTGTTTGGGGTGCACTGGAAACAGAGGTTGACAGAGTACTCCGGAGAGGAAATGCCTTCAGGGACCATTGTGGAATGATTCATTATTGTATACATGCCCTTATACTTTGCATGGTCTACTTAGAACTGCTCTGTTTGGGATTTCACTCCTTTCCTTGGGGAGATTAGCTCACAGTCTAATAAATCTCATCCTTCAGCAAAAGTCTGTTACATTGGGCCTACATTTTCTTCTTTAAAAATTAATTCGCTTACGCCAGTTTACATCCACAGGATATTTTTGAGAACAATGCCTTTCCTTCCCTAGTGTTTACACTATAAACAGCTTTCATGCCTCTTTACTTCTTGTTTCCAAAACCTAGACATATTTGTCTCTTTCTTTAAATATTGCCACTTCCAACCTATTAAATGTAACTGCTGCTTGCTTCTGTATTCCTTTTCACTATGTTCATTAGCTGATGTTTTTAAAATGTCCTAAGGATGAAAAGTGCCTTATTTATTACCACTGTCTTTGGGATGCAGGTGGTAAATGTGGTATTTCTGGGTGTGGTCAGAGCAAGGAGGTAACACCTTCCTTCTCTGATGCCAAAAAGATGGGAGAGATCAAAGCTGCAGTATTTATTGCTTTGCTAAAGGTTTTCTGCTACTCTGAACAAACCTCCTCCTAAGTTTATTGTTCAGCTTTGCAGCTGTTGAAGAGGGAAAGCCAATCCATGTTCCAAGAGTTCAGATCCACGGAAATATCCACTTCTGGAACTATGACCGTCCAGTGGAGGAGAGAAAAGGTTCGCTCCTCGTACTGCCATTGCACGATGCTCGCTGGAGAGTCTTTGGCATTCTAGGACTTGACAATCTTCGGGACCAGTGTGGGAAAACCATCTTTTTGACCCATGAGATCAGTTTCTATCAGGTGGGCACAATCAGAAAGCAGTTGGTTAGACCACGCTTCAAAAAGCTGTGTAGCTTCTGAGTAAACGCAAGATGTATGACTAAGAAAATAACTGTGGGCCCCTTTTTATTGTATATGGTGAAAGTGGTGTGAGCAGAACACCTTATCAATATCTTACTGATTAGCATCTTATCTGTAATTAATTATCAGGTATCATTTCATCAATAATTTATTTAAGCTTCTCCTGGCTAGTAAATTAATTGCACTTTTGTGCAAAGCCCAAAGATAGTAGTTTTTATTTCCTGAAGCACTGGACCTCATATTTGTCTATTTTTGTTTCCATAAAGTGGCATGAAACCTTACTTTTTACATGGTGGAATAATTATAAGCCACAGCAGTTCGGGTTCGTATGGGATGCTCTTTAGTCAGCCCCGCTGTGGATGCATCATCTGGGCAGCAGGGAGCGCAGCAAGCCAACGTTACCAGGCAGTTTGGCTACCTCCACCAAAAACCAACTTTGGCTAGTCCAGGACTTGGCTGTGACCCGGGTACTCTGGAGCTTTAGAGCATTATTTGATAAGGGACATTTCACAGTTACTTTTCAGCTTTCCAAGTTCTGATTAAAGTAACTTGTTACAACCATTTTGCTTCATTTTGCTGCACGAATGTTTCCCCAGCTTTTTTCCCCAAATCATATGGAACTGTGTGGCTCATTTGGAAGATTCTGTTTTCACAGGGAGTTTCTCAGGCATTCAGCAAAGCCTACCACCATATCTGCACACTGGAAAACATTCTACAAATGACTGTTACTGCTCTGGAGTGGTTATATCCCAGGGCACCCAGCATCCACGCTGTTATTACGTACCTGGTGGAGCCTGGCAAAGACAAGGTACACAGATCACTCCACTGAAAAGGCCTGTAAGTGTCAGGGGCTGACAAGGCTACTTCAGCAAGGACCTGCCATTTCTAGCTGCCTGCGATTTCCCAGTGGTTTTATCATAAAAACTGAAGCCTGCCTGAGATTCTTGTGCCTGCCTGAGCAATAAAAGGGCTACAAAGGTAGAGAGGGAAGTTTCCCTCTGTAAAGGAGGGCATTCTTCATTCTTTTTCATCCTCCCATGTAAAACAATTCAACAGCATTTCTAATATAGCCCCTTCTGCATGGGAAAAGGGAATATTCTACTTCAGTTCTCACAGCTGCATAGCAACCAATAGAGCAAAACCCCACACCCACCCATCCATCCATCCATCCATCCATCCATCCATCCCACTGGTTAGCCAACACTGCAAATCCCCACTAAAACTCTGCTGTTTGGGATCTGCACAGAGGGAGCTCGGAGATTCTGTGCATGTCAAAATTATGGTATTTTATAGGAAAAAAGACTGTCCTAGCTAATGTATTAGCTCTTCATTCTGAACTGATGTCAGCAGCCAAGATGTAAACACAACTCAGGAAGGGGCTGCTCCCCATTAGCTAGGTTGTAAAGGCAGCACCCCCCCCCCGCAGATGATATTCCAGTTGCTGAGCAGGCACTCAGCCCCTGGGAAGCTTGTTACTTCACATACAAGTGAGTTAAGAAGACAAAAAGTGTATGCAATATTTAGGACTGATTCTGTGTCATCACAAAGTCTGGATGACATCTGCTGTAGCCACAATTCAGCTGCTTCCTCTGATAAGCACGGTTTATGTTGGCAGCTTTCTGTTGTCATTCCAGGCTCTGCACTGTTCCCTTGTTAGCTGCCCGATAGCCATTTGCTCCCCTCTGTGCTTTTCACATGTCAAAGCACACTGACACAAACATGACATGAGAAAGAGGATGGGAAAAAGGGAAACCTCTTTTTGGCCTGTGGGTGTTCCTCGGTGTGGAGCCTGGGGATGGATTAAATAGTCTGGCTGAGGGAGGTCCAGGGCACATTCTTCATGAATCTTGAGCAATATACTCTGGGAATAAAACCAAGCATTGTTGGGAGATGTCTTTAAACCATCCCATTGCACTTGAACGTACACAGGAGTTTCCTTCAAGAAATAAACTATTTCCTCCCTCTCCAAGCTTCAAAATGGCTGTTCCATTCTTGGATGCAGCTAAACCGCCCTTTTCTCTCTGGCAGACGTGTGACTACGCTCTGCGCAAGGTGATTACTACAGATAATACAGGACAAAAAGAAATTCATAGCTCTCCTGTTCTCCTCAGAAAAGAAAACCTCTTAAGGTAGGCTCCAGCACCTGCAAGTGTCTGCCTGTAGCTCTCCCACTATCAAGGCTTCTGGTGCACATGCACACAATAGTGAATTATGAAGGGGAAAAGAGTATTTTCTCCTTGAGTTTAGGCCTGCAAAAACTTCACTTCCAGCTTAATGCTTACCAGCTGAGCTGCCAAGCAAGCTCTACATCTGCTCTGAAAGGTTTGCAGGATTAGAGCCTACACCGAAGCATTTTGCTCTTTAGAATAATCTGTCCTTTTTCCTAGCCATATTAGTCTCCTTTCCTTCAACTGTTTCCTTCCACTGCCAAGATCCTCACAGACTTGTCTGTTAAGCCTATCATCCTTGTTGTCAAAGTTGGATGAACAGCCATTTGCTGTTCCAGCAGATGTTCTTACTTTTTATAAAACTCTATAGTAAACAAATGTCAACGAGGTTATAAACAGGAAACCGTTTTTAAAGCAAAGTCGGTTAAATTCTTATGATTTTCAGCAATTGCCTTGGCTAAGCAATATTGTGCTCCACAATGCTATTTTCTCCCTTTTGTATATGGCTTGAATGATACTTGAAGCCGCGCATATTTCAATTAAAGGAAATACACAATGAGATGAATGGCATCTTACTAAAATATGCTAAAGAAATTACCAAAAGAAACCAGAATGGTAAAGTCTAGTGCATTTTCCTCTCTTTACTCTCATTTCAGAAATTACCTATTTAACTGCGTAGACAGTTCAGAGGTCATTCGCACTTCTGTCTGTGGAGAATACCACATTGCAGTACCTCTCCGTGACCTGTCAGGAAAAGCTCTTGGGATATTTGATATCAGCATTGGACACCACCAGAAATTATCACCTCATGAACACAAAGACCTGCAGAAAATGCTAAAGATGGCCCAAGCTGCCTGCTGCGAGATACTGAAGATATCTTCAGAGGACAGACAACCAACCTATATACTGGGTATTGTGCATACAGAGCCAACATAGATTTTTTTAGGGGTGAAATTAGGAATGTCAGTAAAACCACATCTAAAGTATCATTCCGACAAATACAGAAAGACAAATACAAACCTTTGGTACACATAAAATACTCCTGAGCAAACGTAAGTTAAACAGAATGTTTAGATTTTTGGTTCTAGTTCACAGAATGTTTTGTGCTCAAGTCTCACTAAAATCAAAGGTGTGAAGCAAGGTGCTTTGTTGTTTCAGGGATCTAGCATGTCCTCCTCAGAACCGCCCCAGCTCAGATCAAAACAATTTGAATGTCACAGTTCCAGAATTATCGGCATGCTTGAACTCTTCATGGACCTTTGCTTGCCCAGGAGGCAAGTTTTGTCTCCTTCTCAAGCACACACCCATTTTTAATACTTTCATAGGATACTTGGGCTGTATACAAATCAATCAGTCAAGGAGACAAAGAGTTCATCATAAAGAGGGCAGAGCCTTTCAGTCAATAACAGAAGTCTTGAGTGGCAAATGTTTCTGAGCAACTTCTTGAAAGGTTTGCTTTTGATTCCAGAGGCAGAACACTTGCCAAATTTGAGGCACGCAGGGATTCTGTTCTACCGGTTCATGCTGCAGGACCTGCGCGAGTGTGTCCAGAAACTTGATGCTGAGAGCTTTGCTGAACTGAAGAGCTACGTGGAACCACCAGCTCTGGTGCATAACATAGTTAAGGCTGTGCTGTTGCTTTTCCATCCAAACTGGAAGGGCTCAGAGAAGATTGAGAACTGGAGTCAGTGTATACTGGTGAGGCTTCCAAATGTTGAGATTTTTTTTTTTTCTGTTTTGCTTCCCCCAAGAAGACATAGTGGAATTTGCCAAGGGTGATTTGGCAGTGAAATAATTTATTACTTAGAGATTTCCTATATGCTTGGCTTAGCATTCTGTAACCCTCTCTCAAGTTCTTCACTGCCACCTGACTCTCTTTGTTCTCTGCATTGCAGAAACTTGATGACAATTTGATTCAGGAGATTTACTGCTTTGATCCAACTGCTGCATCTGTGCAAGTTCAAGCAGAGCTGCTGCTGGACTGCATCACTGGTAAATATCATAAACTAATTGTGAGATTACCAGACGCGGCTCAGCAATGAAACAGTGTCACCGGCAACCTTCGGCTGAGTGTTTTTAAGGTCTTTACTTCAGAAATTAACTTTGATTTCACAATAGATTAAACAACAGATAAGGGGTCCTAAATATCTGTAGCCTTTTTTGGTCAGTAAAGTCAATCTGTTACATTTAGAATCAAAATGCAGTGCCTTAAGGAAAGGGGAGTGGAGCACCTTTGAAACCTATCAGAACAAACACAAAATCTCATTGTAAACCCCCAGATAAACATATTAAGAATAATGGTTCTGGCATGTAATATGTAAAGACATATTAAGAATGATGGTTCTTTTGGCAAGTAAACCTACCTCAGACCACCCTGCCCTGCCCGAGGGACTGACCCAGCTCCAAACGGCAACACGGCTGCGGGAGGACAGTGTGAGCCCTCCTCTTTGTAAACACCATCTGCCACGTACTTAATACACTCACTGCCCGTATACGGGAGCTGGGTTTCAGGCTGTCTTTCTCTCCTTTAATGAACGTGGGCTCTTTTGGTGCCAGAGCAGTCAAGAGGTTATTATTATTTGTAATATCTCTGCTAGAGAAATGACTGTTGTTCTTGTCAAGATCTCTCCCCTGATGATCTAATGCCAGATTGAGAGGCCTGTTAAAAATCAAAAGTGGACAAGACTTGTTAATTTAGCTGGGGATATTTATCAACGGTACCCTGCCTACTGATAAACAGTGAACACTTAACGCACTCATAGTTCCTTTTCATGTGTTCTCCTCATATATATTAAACTAATTCACTGGAAAGAATGAAGCAGGTCTAGAGCATCCAGTCTTCCTCCAGTTAGGGACGTAGAGGTAACTAAAATAATGCAGCTTTGGCAAACTGCTGGTATGCTACAAAAGGTTAATTTCCCAGGATGGAACTTACTCTGAGAGAGCAGCAACAGATCCGTGGTGTGAACACAGGTATAAATCACAGTTATAGGAATTCCTTGAAAATGAACATGGGTGTTTACACAAGGTGCGTGTTGGATAACGCCCATATATTCCACATACCGTGTGCTGCAATACAGAACAGACCACGAAACAACCTACGCTCTACTGACACAGCAACCCTTAACGGTACGTTTCTGTGGTTAGCATTTGGTAAAAGAGATTTGAAGGACAATTTACTCTTAAATCAAATCTAAACTTGGGGAAAAAAAATAAAATTAAAAAGCACCAAGAGAGTTTCCTCTCTTCTTTGTTTCAGAGGTACCTGGAGCGGCGGTGCGGCAGCACGGCTCAGTTCCAGCCGAGTACCTGTACGGCTGGGTACACACCTGCCTCGCGCTAGCAGAGATCACAAGAAGCCTGCGCAGTAAAAAAGCTCCATTTTTAGCCCCCTCGGGCATCCAGTTCTAGTGTGCCTCCAATTGCGTCTCTAATTCCTCATCCAACCCTAGTGATTCTGGTATTTGACATCTTTTATTAAATTCGCTGTTGCTTTTTTGTTTGTTTTTATGCATTGCTGCTACATATTTGTTGTTAAGATGGTAGAAGTCTGTTAGGGAGTATTAAGAAAAAGCAATAAAAACATTAAAGGAAACAATTTTGCTAGTATAAATATATCTACTAAACTTCAAAAGCTTGAAGTTTTTTTTTAAAGTTAATTCTGATGAGAAAAAGAGAGGCAGGGAAGAGTTTATGACTACCAAGCTACAATGCTCATGATACAGCAAAAATTCTCAAGATTCAGTCTCCTTAAATTACTTTATAGGAGTAATTTGAACTAAAGGTTGTTAATCAGCATTTTGTCAAGTTCTTCTAAATGTGCTGCGGAAAAGCCTTACGCTTTTAATATAGCAAAAAAAAAGCTTTCTTATTGGGATGAAGCTTGAGATTACAGCGAACTGCACTGTCTGCAGCAAGATTTCATCTTTCCAATAACGTTTCTTTTGGCAGAATCACTTTTTTAATAACACTTTGGGAAATTAAACTCCCCTTTCTTTGGTCGGCAACAAGCGACGCCTCGGGGTAGGTGATGACTGTGGGGGCAGGGTGGCTT